CTGCTCATCCCAGCAGATGTCCGGGTAATATAGATTGCCCACGATGACTACGTCCCTTGCCTTAAGTGCCTCCACAAGCTGGCCCAAGAATTCCCGGTCCAGCTCTTCCCTTTGGTTGGCTGGTCTGGAGTAGACCCCCACCGTTAAGTCCCTTTTCCCCACGACCCCCCTGTATTCTGACCCAGAGCACTTCAGCCTGCCCCTCCTCTGACCCCATCCTGTTAGTTGAGGACATGTATTGCTCTTTGACGTAGAGCACCACACCCCTGCCTTTCCTTCCCGTTCTATCCGGCCTATATAGTCTGTAGCCCCTAATGTTTACCACCCAGTCGTGGGATGAATCCCACCAGGTTTCTGTGAGCCCTACTATGTCTGGGCTTGTACTAGCTATCCGGACGGCAAGTTCCTCCTGCTTATTTCCTATGCTACGAGCAGTAGTGTAGAGGCATTTAAGGCCTTGCATTGGTGCATGCACCCCTCCTCCCCCCGATTCTTAGGACTATCCGGACTGCCGTCACTTACCTGGGTACTCCTTGTGCTTGTCAGCTGTCTTGGTTGGGAGGTGTCCTCCCGTGGCCCCATCCCCTAGCAAAGCTAGCTTAAAGCACGCTGTACGAGATCAGCCAACCTGGAAGAAAAGACACACTTGCCTTTAGGGGAGAGATGTAGCTCATCCCTCCCAAGCATGTCCCCCACGCGAAAGCGTGGGTCGCACCAGCTCCATAGCCGCCAGTTAACATCACCGATACATGCCTCATGTCGCCATCCGCATCTACTTACTCTCCGAGATGAGATGCTCTGCCTAATCTGCTATCACAGTCTGATGGAGGGAGAGCCAACACCCATGGCAAATGGCAAAATGATTATAACCAGGTTATAAGTATTTGAAATAACAGATTCCTCATGAGCTGAACACATTGCTAAATGTTTAATAGGCATCAATGTACTGAAGTACAACTTTCCAGAACATACCTGAACCCTGACATAGATACGGGAACACATACTGTGGCTTACAAAAAGCATGCGCCTAAATCCACTGCTTCCTAAAGTTGTGTCTACTCAGTTGGAGTACTTAAATTTATAAATAAATTACCTATCTTTTTAAAGTGTAGATATAAGAACCCAACATTTCCAAACAAACACTGAAAAAAACCCATGAGTCGGCCTCAAAAATCATGAGATTAAAAACCAATTTCCTTTTACTTTTTTCTATTTACTTACTTCTGAATCTTCACAGTTTGTAGAGTAAAATTTTCTCTTCCATGAAGGGTAGAATAAGAGATGAGATTCTTGCCTATGCACATACCTCTAGGAGGCATAGATTTAAGAGGGATAGAGGGGAAACACAAATACTGTGAGAATAGCATTGGTGAGGTGGGGAATTACAAGTTGGCATCACTAAGAGACTAACTTGAAGTTCCCAATACTGAATAGTCAAACATTACATGCAAATCTGTCCCCAGAATAATGTATGAAGACTGCATTTATTTCAGCTGTGCTTTTAAACATCTGCAGTAATCCGATACTGTACTTTAACATAATACCTTTATTTGAATTGCTGAACCATTTTATTAAAAATATTGCATAAATCAGAATGAGAGAGAGAGAGCTCTTTTCTAATGCTAATGTTTCAAATCTCAAACAATGTGTGTCTTAGCAAAACTGATACATTTCTTATTTCAAAAACTGGCTCAGGCCTGAAAATTGCTTATTTTCATGTATAAATAAAATACTTGTTGATAATTTTTTATAACATTGAGGTTGGTTAGACTCAGGCACCCATGTTTTCAAAGGGGTGTTAAACAGCATTGCACTTGTCTGTGTTTAACTTCTTGCACACTCTCTGGGCCCAGGAACACTGCAGTGATCAAGCAGCAGTTACAGATACAGGACAGACCAGCCAGAGATACCCTTAGATTTCCATTTAAAAAGCAGTCAGCAACTGTGAGAAAGGCTGAATGGACAGACAGGGAGGTCACTGAAGACCCATGCAATCTCTGACCCCCATCTGCCAGCATGCCCCGCACACTTTCTTAGGTAAGTTGCATTACAGCAAATGCCTAAACTGGCAGACAGCTTGCAGGAGAGCGGCCTAGGTCTCTTTCACAGAAACTCTATTTGGGAAAAAAAGTGTGTATACTCTCGTGAGCAGACGACTTTAATTGTGCTACAGCCAGTACCACTGGTCGGGGGACTGTCGATTGAACAGGGGATTTACTGACTGATTGGATGCCTGTCTTTCACAAAGACATGCTCCCAAACCCATCGGTGGCTGTGTTAGCCTCTTTAAGGGCTCAGCTCCCGCGTCCTGGATTACAAGCCTTCTCTTTTGATCAGAACAGACACAGAGCTCAAGCTCCCAACCCTGGTAGCTGGTGATATTACTCACTCAACACAATCTCTCCGTGTCTTATAAGCTAGTCATTTTTCTTCTTTGCATGCATATCATGTCCCTGACGCTGCACTACAGAACCAGGGCTTGGGTTAAAAATAAATGTTTGTGGAGAAGCTAAAACCAAGAAAACTAAATCTCAAGTGTTGGGAACATCCACCACACCCTAAGCAGAGGCAAAAAGGGAATATCTAATTAGAATAGGTTTAAGACATTGAAGATTATGTAAGAGGGAAACAGGAGAGACGGGCACTGAGGAGGAGGTCTGACAGACACACGTGCTTCTAGTGCCCAATACTTTATAAATAAAAAACCTGTAGTTTCTAAAACCCACTTCCTTTGTCGTGATCTTCCTCTCTGCACCTTAACATTGACAGTAACTGGCAACAACTCTGGTCTGTAACCCGTGTCATTCTCAGTCAATACCAAATGGAGTAAAAGTCATCCTGCTCTTTAATAAAAGAATGGAAGTTTCATTATGGAGCAGGGCAGCTAGCTAAATGCCAGGGGCCTGAAACCAAGATTGTGATAGCACATACCCAGGGTCAGAGTCCTAGGAAGTGCCTGCTATGAAAGCTATGACAACTTTTTAAATCGTAGGATTCCCTGCAGAGAGGAAAGAGAAATATATAAAAACTACAGAACAAAAGGGTCTGGGGAGAGCAGTGCATCCAGCTTTTAAGCTTTGGGCACAATAGGCCACCCACAGCTGAAGGAGTTGTGCTTTTCACGTTTCAGTTTGTTGCAGCAGGTAGTGTGCAAACAGACTAAGGGCTGCTGCCTGCCAGAAGTGTTTACAGTCCAAAAGATTGCACCAGAGCCCCTCTCCCAATGTAACAGAAATATTTGGTGTGTACGAGCTAGTCGAAGACTGCAGAGCACGCTCCTAGGTGCCGTTCATAGGAGGAATAACCGAAGATGGACACGGTAGCTGAACTAAACCATAGAGGCCCACTTCTTGCATTACCTCCCCAGGGACTCTATTAGTTTTTGTTGCTGAACTGGCTTCTCCACAAGCAGCTCTGTTCGTAGGAACTGGCAGTTTGTCAGCTCTGTCAAATGCTGTCATTTGGCAAGATGCTGTCATTTGCCAAAATAACACTCACCTCGTTCTGCTTCACAAGTATGAGGTATGCATAAATCTCCATACCCCAGGGAAGAGCGCTGCCCTCAAATTCCAGATAAAGAACAAGCTGACAACAAGGGTCTTACAGCATGCCTACTTAATTCAGGGCATGCTGTAAGACCCTTTCCGCCTCCTTGAAGACACTGGGAAGCAAGCAGGTTGAGTAGAGGTAGCTGCCTTTTCTGGATAGACAATTATTTACATTGGTAAAATGGGATTACTTTTCTTTAAGATCTTTGTATGTCAGGGCAGCAAGAGCCTGCAACAGGGCATCTATTTGAGCAAAACTGAAATATTCCTGGGATCAGCTCAGCCTGTCGCTTATGAAATAAGATCATCTTTCATTCACCCCAAAGAAAGAAGACAAAAGGCTGGACTAAGACAGACAATGCTTTTAATGACAGCGTTTAACAACAGTATACATTTCTCCAACAGACCAACCTCACAGGCAGAGATAAAGCAAGCCTGTCTGTCCACATCCCAATCTTCACACATGCATATCACCTATGCACATCTAATGATTTGATAACACTTAATAGGACACTGTAGATGTACATCTAGATAACATCTGCCTAAATAATATTTAAAGCGATGAGTATAAAATATATATCAATCCACCAGGAGACACGGTGAATTCCACTAAAAATTTAAATCTCTCTCACAAAGCACAAATGACTCATGTACAAGTGTATTAGCATACGATCTAACCACTGCTTCCTGAAGCAGGGGCAGCACTGTACTCTAACTCAGATACTCCAAATTCAACTTTATTCACAAGCCATTCCACAGATTTCAGTTCAGCACATGTGTGCAAACAGCTAGGCCCTAGGTGCCACATCAAGTTTAATATGCTGAACAAGGAAGTCCCTTCAGGTGCATCTACACATGCACTTTACTGCTAAGTACACCAATTAGCTCCACAGTAAAGCATCACCATCTACACACGCACTAGCACAAGGGCAAGATTTTTTAAATTCACTAACTCTGTGAAAGATAGTACTGTCAGGGGCAGTACTACCTTACAGCAGAGTACTTAACTGCACTGAAACACACGTGTAGACGGTGACTAGGGCCAGCTGGGGCACAAGGGTGCTACAGCATAGGGGCTGCCTGCCAACTAGCCCCACACTTTAGCACCCTCCACCACCCAATGGTGCCACTGGGAATCTGAGGCTGAGCCTGCATGCCTCTTGCCAACCCAGGGTTGCTCTGCTCTGGTTCAAAGTGTTGCTGGCCCAGGCCATATCTAGATGCTGTGACTGGGAACAGCGAAGTCTGGCTGAAATGCACATGTAGACAGTGACTGGGGCAGGCTGGGGCACAAGGGTGCTACAGTGCAGGGGCTGCCTGCCACCTAGCCCCACACAAACTGTGCTGGAGTTTCTTTGCATTAACTGCATGTGTAGACGCACCCAGTAAGTTTGGGAGAACTTCCACATAACCAAGCAAACAAGCAAATAACTGAAAAGCTCAAGGCTTGAGTAAGAAAGGTTTTTCCAAAGATTTTGTATATTTTGATTAAAACTGAAAATGAAATAAGGGTCAGAGTTAAAAAACAAGCAATACCTATTTACATACTGCTTTGCATCATATTCCGTGTGCTAACCCTTCTAGCAATGACATTCAGTTTCAGACGTACATAAAAGGAACGTTTTTGTGGCTTTTGTCTCCCCCCCACCCCACATACACACCTTTAGCAATAGAGTTTTCATGAAAAATACCAGGCTTAAAAACAATTGGGGACAGATCCTTCCTTACACAGATGCAAGATGTTTTTTGTTTTAGTCCCAAAGAATTTGCACGTAGTCTTGTTGGTTTAGTTTTGAAAAAGTTTAACCCTCAAAATGAAATTTAACCCTGGTCAGTCATATAAACTTTGGCTCCGTTCCTAATAATTAAACACTCAAGAGATTTCTGCAGATAAAGAACGTGAAAAATAGTATCCAACGCACAAGTAAAATAATCTCTTTCTTTACAGTCCTTATAAATGTAAGCTTCAGAAATCGATGGAACAAACATAAATTATAGACAAGCATTTTAGGTAATTGTATATAACCATCAGTGCTGTCCAAAATGTTTTGTTACAATGGGAGAGGAGCAAAAGAAGGGTGGAGGAGAGAACTGAATGATAAATGCTCTCAAAAGCAAGCATGGAAAAAAAAAACAACTCAAAGTTAACTGGCCCAAGCACACCGAGGTTCAGTGGGGAGATGGGGGTGTCTGGCTCATCAGACAATTGTGCAGGAAACAAAAGAAAAAAAGACAGTTTACAATTCATTTCTGAAATGTACACACTAATTGGAGTTTCCTGTAACGAAGAAACACGCAGTTTATTGACCATTTCCAACATGCTGAGTTACTTCTAAGGAACAAGTTGTTTGGCCTTCTAAAAGGACACCTACCTTCACAGGCATTCAAGTACGAGTATTTGCTCCCTCGTCACTTAATACCTTTGATTAAGATACTAGGTAATCAGAAATGCTTGATTCTATTGTTCAGCTGGAGTTTGAAAGCTTTAGAGTAGGACCAGCGAACTTCTACACTGCATTCACAAGCTTAATTCAGTCTTGCCCTACAAAATGTTATTGGTATAAGCACCGTTACAAAAATTGTATCTAACAGCTTATTTTCTATTGGTACAAAAAAATAGATACAAAGCAGTATCGGCGCTATATTTTTGTAGGTAAAAAAAGAGGGAACAGTCCAATTCAGGCATAAAGTAAGCTGAATGTTGGGTGAGAGCTTTAAATAAGTTAGCTTTAGGAAAAAACTCTAGAGAGTTAGGACATGCCCATGTAGATGCATGCTTTTTTCTATGTTAGCTTAAACAGACGTGAGACTTAAAAAAATACATCGTGAATCTGGCTTACAACACATGAAGCAATCAAAGCTTTTACAGAACAATAAAAGTGCAGCACTTCAAGAATCAGTGAAGCCTGAGTTGCGCATAATAAATTAAAAGCAAGCAAACTTTAAAACTGCTCACTTAAAAGTGCAAAGCCAACGGTGTTCCAGGGAGCAACTCATAAAACATGTTAAAAACAGCACGGAACAGTTCTGACAAGAAAAAAAACAATCAAAGGGAGAATTAAATCTCCTCTATATGCTCTTTGCTCTTTTCTCAGGACCTGGAGCTACAAGGGACCATCATTAACATGAACGCCCAGAAAATAATCCTGTTATATTCTAAACAAACTTCTAATATAGCAACCTAAAAAGTGCAAAATAGGGTTTCACAAACTAAATTATTGATGTAACGATTATTATGTTATTACAAGTACATAAAAAAGACTCTCTGCAACAACAGGAAAAAATGTTAAGACCTAGATTTTCAAGAGTGCTTGGATCAGCAGTTTTTGGGGCCACTTTCAATGAGAACAGCAGGATGCTGAGTGCTGTTGAAAGTCTGGCCCATACTTCCTTAGATCCCAGTCTGGCAAACACTCAGCAGAACTTTATATACCCAAGTAGTTAAATTAAACTATTCAAATGTATAGATGTCTGCAGGATCGAGATGTTGTGATGTTATTTAAATGCGAAGTAATCCACTAAAAATCAGAAGTGGTTGCACTGCCATGCTGATTCAGACCCATAACTTAGTACAGTAAACAGGCTTTTTCCCTTTTTATGTGACCATGACCTATTTATTCACCAACTACTTCTGGTCACAGAGCAACACATCCATCTTCTATATGGGCTATTTTTCAGAGTGAATAAAAGACCATTATTATGAGAAAATGTAATGCTGAAAGGTATTTACAGTAAGCAGCACTGAAAGTAAGGAAGTAAAGTACAGCAACATTTTATCAGACAGTCTGAGAACAGTAAAGTTGCACTGGACCTCAGAAGTATAAAGGACCAAAAGGAAAAAAACATGGCCCACTTGTCTTTGTAGCTGTCACCTGTGCTTTGTAAAACAAAATTCCAAGTGAGAAACCATAGCATTCAAAAGTGTTGGAAAATGTTGCTCAGACTTCCCCTAAAATCAGGGCAGACAAGTTTTCAGCAGTCTGTCTACAAAGCCGGCTATCTACAAACACTGTCGCAGACTGTAAGGGGTTAATATTCGGTCCCGATTTTCTTCATACTTTTCTGTCATTTTCTGCATGTCGTGGTCTGCCTCAATCACCTGGAAAACAGGAAGTGAACATTAGAATGAGACGCTCTGCGAAAACATGCTCCATCATTTCACAAGATGATGCAGCTCTAGCATTTAAGAATCAAACAATGGCACGGAGCCCCGACTGAACCACTCCTAGGTACTTGGCCAGTTTGTTGTCAGTGCAGGGACGGGATTTAAAAAAATCAAACAGTGTTTGCTACTGTGAGTAGTCCCTTCCCATTCCACCAGCTCCCTTTGCAAGTTCAAACTCTTATGCTGGACACGTGTCAATGCCTTTCAAATTCTGGAAAAATACATGTGTAACTTTCACAACTAAATCACAAAATGTTACAATTCAAAGACTGAGGCTTTCCCCTTTTTCCCCCCCCCCCCTTTGCTGAACTGACTATAACTGATAAACTATACTCACAAGAACCGGACAGGAAACGTTAAAGAGTGTCTGCTTAATGAGCCACTCCTCATAGAGCTCATGGATAGCTTGTAGATATTCCTATAAAAAAGGCATTCAAACAACATGAATTCATACATACATTCTAAATAACTACAGAAATCATATATTTAAACAAACTGAAATCAACTAAGAGGTCAATGATTTACATAAATTTTGCACATACCCAACAGATACCAGCAAACATTCAACATAAAAGTTTAGCTTTCATGGGCAATTTGGCCAATAGAGTCATGCAGGTTTTTATTATGTACTTCACTGCCATGACAGATCATACAACATGTCAGAAATCTTTACCCAATATTTTGATTAAATTATTTCTTCCTAGAGAGCAGCTTTGCTGCAATTCAAAGCAAATATCATATCATTTAGGGTTTGGGTATTTTTTTCTTTTCTTTTCTCCTTTTAATTCTAGCTCCAGCAAGCAGTATCATTTCAATGAGTGCTGTTGCCACGTCATGGTGAACCCACACTGAATCGACAGGAGGTGGAATCTCATCATTTCTCCTTATTTACAATGTCCAGCCTTTTCTCATTCCCACTGATAAAGAAATGAAGAATCACAAGTTTTTGAGCTTAACTAGGTATTATAGTATACCATTATATTGATTTAGCCAATGAGGGCCTCATCCAGACAAGATCAAGGCTGCTAGTTTCTCTTCCAGGGAAGGCATGCAACTTAACACTAAAAGAAAGATGACCACCATGGAAGGATGAACAAGGACAAAAAGGAAAACTGAAACTACTTCAGAGCTGCTTTTTCTGAGGATACTTTTTGCCCCCCTAACAGTCCCAGTTAATTTTCTTCTACTTCCACCCACCTTCTTTAAAAGCATTTTTGCTTGTCAGCCACTATTAGCTGTTCATGGAGATGACTTAACCTTTCACATTCACAATGGTTTTCTCTCAGTAACAAGGAGAGACACTGCAAAGTAACACGCTGTGTCTCTTCAAAGCTACTGCAGTAAAACAGCAGAACGGGCTCATTCTCCAAGGGAAAATTTCACATAGTACTGGAATTTAGCCCTTTGCTTGCATTCACCACACACATTCCACCTACCCACCTGCCACGACTGTAAAAACACTGTTATATGCAGCCCATTCCTGATGCTATCCTATTTACTTCTTGCTTAGTGTTTCATTAATAAAAGACCTTTTGGGTATGGGACCTTCACATAAAACTGTTCCATAGTACTATCCAACTAGAACTGCAAATATTCAGGACTTGAACAAAATAGCACCCATAATCATTTTGATTTTTTAAATAAAAAAGAAGTGAATGCACACTGCTAGACTATAATCCTACAAAGATGCCTGCCTCTTCTTCCTAATACTATTTCTTTTTTCTTATTCTATATTAAGGAATTCTTATAAAGCCTTCAACTACCTGAAGGGAGATTCAAAAGAAGATGGAACTAGACTGTTCTCAGTGGTGGCAGATGACAGAACAAAGAGCAACGGTCTCAAATTGCAGCAAGGGAAGTTTAGGCTGGATATTAGGAAAAATTCTCTCACCAGGAGAGTAGTAACACACTGGAACAGGTTACTCAGAGAGGTGGTGGACTCTGCACCCTTAGAGGTTTTCAAGACCCAGCTAGGCAAAAGCTTTGGATGGGATGATCTAGTTGGGAACGGTCCTACCTTGAGCAGGGGTTTGGACGAGATAATAGGGCTGCGCGAAACGGCTGCATTTCAATTCTGTTTCAGATTCAAACATTTTGGAGGACAGCGATTCCTTTCAGTGTTTTGGCTGAATCTGTTTCGGAGATTCATCTCTGCCAAATCTCCTTCAAATCTTGTTCCCAATGGGCTGCAAGCTTCACACAGCCCTACTGCCCAGCTGGACAGGGCTGCAGGGCCCCAGCGGGGAGCAAGACCATGGGTGGCTCATCCGGGGGAGGGCCACTGCCCTCAGTGCAGGCGAGGAGACCCCAGTGCAGATCTCTGATCCGTCGCACTGGGTCGCAGGGCTTGGAAGCAGCGCAGAGCGGTGAGCAAGCCTGCCGCTCCCTGCCACACGACTTGGCTCCGCAGGGAGCAGAGATCTGCACTGGGGGGTCTCCTCACCACCGCTGCCCATCCCATGCTGCCTCGGATCTCTGCTCCTTGCTGAGCCCGGTCACACGGCAGGGACCAGCACCGCCCTGCTGCACAACCTGGCCTAATAATACACTAAATGGAACGAGCTGAATGACACTGCAGCAAGGCCAAGACTTTACAACTGAACACACAACATGATAGCCAAAATGAGCCAAACACAAAGCAGTCTAGTTTGTTTCCTAAGAAGACCAGATCCTTACCACAGGAATGATCTTTTCCTCTTTTCTGCATCTCCTCTTTAACCTCTCGTAACAAGTTTCAGGAGAAGTCTGTAGATAAACTGCCATAAAACATTGGAATAGATATGTACAAAGATCATTTTTTAGAAAAAAAAATAGAGAAGGAATCTGCTTCAAAACCAATGCAAGAATTATCTATATAGGAAACCTCTGACTTGGGTACCAGCTAGACTTCCACATTATTGTTTTAATGAATGGCCAGCAATGGAACCAATGGATTTGCTTTCAAAGGAAAGCAACCATTTCCAAGTCCCGGTGAAGGTTAGATGAAGCATAGCAATGAAGCAGCAAGCACTCCAAAGGCGTTTCCACCCTCCAACACATACGTGAAGAAAGTGTTTCTGGTATTATAGGAATTATGTAGAACTCATAGAGATTGTGGCAAAGTGAGTATCCCCATTAGCTGTAGCTAGCCCCCAACATGCCTCTGGGCATGCCACCTGCCTGTTTCACCCACCATGCCTTGTTGGAATAATAATATGCTGTTAAATAAAGCAGAAGGCTGCCCATTACTGCACCCCCATATTTGGGGGTGTCTGTGGCTCCGCACCTGCCCTACACCACGGCCCAAGCCTCGCAGATGGCATCCAGATGTTCCAGTGTCCCTGACCTACAGCTGCAGCATGCTTAGGCCACGCTGTCAGGCCTCAGTCACATGCACATTCATACCGCCTGCCTCTCACCCAGGCCTCACTCACTCCACCCTCTCTTACAGGGTCTCTTTCTTGCATAAACGACTTATGCCACTTTGCTCCCTCTTGGAGCGGGCACCCTTTGGCCATAGGCTTAGCTAGTCCATTCCTTGGGTGGCAGATGTACCGTCTGTTGGGCCTCTCCCACGACCCTGACTGGGATAGTGGCCAGCCAATTACCCAACCAGGTTTAAGCATACTCGGGCCCCTTCCAGGGTAACACTCAGGGTCTGTATGTGTACTGGGCTCTCAGCCCTCTAGTTCTTCTCCCACTCACTTGGGGCTCCACACTGCCCCATTTACTCGGGGTCTCGGGGCTTCCCTCCTCGGGTGGGCTCAGGTGGCCATAGCCGTGCCTGGCCCCCTCTACCCTCTGTTGTCACCTGACCCACCCAAAGGTGGGAGCTGGGGTTAAGGTGCCCTGACCCACCTTTCACTGGGGTGGTAACTGGCCTGACATTTCCTGGGGGCTCCTGCGCCACTGAGAGCCCCACCAAGCCACCCACTCCCAGCAGGGTGCAGTTTTAGGTCATGCCCAGGAGCCTCCTGCCCATCCCCTACAGCTCCTCCCTTTCCTCCAGTTGATACCAGCAGCCCTCTTCTAGCAGCAAAATGCCCTGTTTATATGGGCAGCCCTGAATCTAAAATGGCTGCCCTAATCTGGCACCTGCCGGCTGCTGGGTTCAGGCCCTTAAAGTGGCAGGCACAAACAGTGTCCTGCCACAGAGATAGATAGATCAATCTATAATTTCATTTTTTTTACCCTAATACAAACAAAAAAACCCACACAAAAGGGGGACAACTGTTACAAACAACATATCTTACCTATCAAGTCAACTGAAACATCAATATTCTTCTTGATCCATTCAAACCATTCAGTTAGTACTAGGTAATCCACTTCTGGCATTTTCCCACTGCAAACAAGAAAAGTGATCCATTATATTATATATAAACATCCTTTATCACACAGCCATTCACTGTACCAAATATAGGGTCCCATTCTAAGCTTCCAGACACGACTTGCACTGGTGTTTAACCTGTGAACTCACTAAAGTTACTCCTGATTTACTCCAGCATAAATGAAATGAGATGCTGACCCATAACTTCCCTAGACACACAAGGACTCATAACAATGTTCTCAGACTAAACACAAGAAAAGCTAGAATTATTTTCTGGCCCTAAATGGATTCTAACCAATATAATCCTCGCTGCTTAATAGTTAACAGTTTCATTATTGTTGTTGTTTAATAAAAACAAAATTACTTGGTGAACCAAGTAGGCAAATGTTCCAACACTCACAATTAAACAGTGACAATAACAAATTAGCATCAAATGATATTTCTAAAATTCCTCCCAGCAGGATTGTTACGAATACATTTGAACTGTTGCAGTGTGCAGAGCCATAATGCTTTGATTTACTAAGCAAAATTGACAATTCATTATAACACTCCAGTCACCAAACAAAGAGCAACAAGACTCATATTAATGGCATCACATAAATTTGACTTTTCTTTCTATGTGAGAAGGATTTATTAGAGGAGAGA